ATATAAATCACAATTGAAGGGTTGTAAGAAAGCTTGAGAATATAAAATAGGTATTCTAATTTGCTGAAGTTTGAGCAAAGCATTAGCTTGGGTTTTGTTGGGAATATTGATTTTTAGAATTTGAGGTTACGATTTGATCCAGTTTGGTGAAAGGCCTAGTTCCGATTTCTATATATAGTAGTATATTATTTATATAATTANTATATTATTTATATAATTATCTTTTATTATTGATAAATTTATTTCTTTATTGTCATATTAATTTTTAATAACTCGATTTCTTCCTCTAATTAATATAACTAAAATAGTTTTCTGTCAATCTTATTTTACTTTTTTACTTAATTATATTTCTCTATTCATTAGTTGGTCACGTAACTATATCTAATAATCTAACTTATTATTTATTTTTCTTACATAAATTATACTCTCTCCGTCCCAATTTATATGAAAGTGTTTGATTGGATATGGATTTTATGAAATAAAGGAAGGTTTTTGAAACTTGTAATCTTAAATAAATCATAAAAGTTTTTGGGCTAGAAATCATCTCATTAATGGTAAAATGAAAAATCTAAAGTTGAATTGTTACCAAATATAGAAAGGGACTTACTAAAAAAAAGGAGTCACTTATGTTTTCTGGGTTCTCCCATTTCAGTTGTGATGCAATCAACGTTAAATTCATTTAATTTTCTATATTTTATAAAATTAAGTTCTCATTTAAGATTTTGTTTTAGGCCTCCGATGAGGTTGGCCGCCCCTGTATGTCATGATCAGCATAAGAAGTTAACATGGCTTAGCTAAATTGCTGACGTCTAGTTGCTTGCATCAATCATATCATCATCTAGAGATATTCTTTTTACGTAGGGGATTGAGTGTCCCCTTCCAATAACCTTCTGGATAATTCTTCTACTGGGCAAAGACTTAATTGAGAGTATAAATACGGACGTTCTCTACCTAATAGAAACACAATATAGAAATTAAACCCTTTGCGTATACATCAATACTCCGGCTAAATCGGCAAATATATCCAACAAATTAAGCCTTTTAAACCAATCAGTACGTTATCAATATCATCAATGTCAGATCGTATTGATGTCTTGGCTATGATGATATCAGATGAGGAATTTGCAGAGAAACTGCAGATGCAACATGTTCTCGGAGCCTCTTATGAAAGTTCCCAAGGATTCTGTGGAATTTGCAATAAGAAAAAGGGAGCAGATCGAATGTTCAAACTCCAAATCTGCTCTCGTCATTCTTTCTGTTCTCACTGCATAGGTCTTTATGCCCAATCCAAGATTCGCGACAACGTTTTCCCTATAACTTGTCCAGGTTTGAGATGTCGTGTCGTAATTCAACCCGAATCTTGTAGGTCTATCATTCCAGTAAATACATTTGCAAGGTGGGAAGAGGGCTCGGCCGAGTCAGCTATTCCTAATGGTGAAAAATTCTATTGTCCTTATAAAAGATGTTCAGGGCTGTTCATTCATGATCGACATGAAGAGATCGTTCAGTGCATTTGTCCTCTGTGCAAAAAACTGTTCTGTGCGAAGTGCCGAGTCCCTTGGCACACTGGGCGTGATTGTGACAAGTTTCAAAAGGTAGAAAAAGACAGAGAAGATGAGCTAAAACTTAAGCTGCTTGCTGAGATCAAAAAATGGAAGGAATGCCCTAAGTGCAAATCCATTGTGGAGAAGGTTGATGGCTGTATACACATGACTTGCAGGTTAATTATACATAATTATACATATATTTTACATTAGCTACTCTTTATACAAATAGTCTGTGATATTCATCGTTTACTTTTTATAGTCATATACATAGATTATACATAATTATACATATATAATACACAAATTATGCATATATTATATATCTACCGGCTATTTTTAGTTTAAGTGATTCGATAGATGACTATTTGAGTTAATTTTTCTTTTTGGTTTAAGAGATTAGTTGGATGACTTTTTGGATTAATTCTTCTATATGCTATAAATTGTGGATTCAGGTGTAAAATGGAATTTTGCTACGTATGTGGAGGAACGTGGAGCGAAAGGCATTGGAGTTGCCAAGACTAGTTATGATATACTATCGGATTGCCTCTTCATACCAATCGGATGCTGAATATTTTGTTGTCAGAATAAAAATTATGTTGTTTAGTTGGTTGTATTATGTCTTTAATTTGGTGTCCATGGTTTGTATTAGGAGCATTATATATAGTACGAGTTGGTCCTTGCATAACATTTACTTGATGTTGATTATAATATGCTCGAGTTGGAGACCAAACAGCTATATGAGACTTCTTTTTTCTTTTATTTTTCTTTGTTGTCAATGTAATATTTGGCCTCCATGGCCTACAACTTTTTGGTTTCATACGTACTCTCTGTTCACTTTACTTGACATCTATATTAAAAATAGACTTTTATTTGTCACTTTACGTATATCAAGATAAGATAATTTTTTTTTATTGTTTTACCCTTTATACATTAACCAACATTTCTCGAATAAAATAATGGTCAATTATAACTTTCCAATGCTCAATATTGGAATTCACAGAGAACTCTTCATTATCACCATTCGTTATACACAAAAGTCCACTAAAGTCATCTTTTATTCTCTTGTTCTTTGGAGTATTTTTTTTCTTCAGAAGTTATTTGGGAATTTGGGTTCAATTATTGAGTATCAATTAATAGGGTTATTGTGATAAAATTATCGTGTCAATCATTGTTTCTTAAGAGGCGTGAAAAGTCAAAACGTGCCAAGTAAAAACGAATGGAGAAAATATATAGATGAGCACTTTTACGAATTAAGTACGCCTTAGAGATTCATTATAATAAATACTTTAAATTAACCTTTAACTTAAGGTAATTCTCTCACTTATTATTGAAGCGTGAGATTGATTATGTTTGAGAAAGACATGTCATCAAAGTTTAAGGTATATAATAAAAGTAGATTATTAAATTATATAAGAAACACCTTCTTAAACCAATCAATTTATAGCAAAATTAATTAGAAGAACCGGTGTCTCTTAGGAGGCGCCGTGCGTCGAGTCGGATATCATTGAGAAAGAAATAGGAAGAAATGTTATCGAACGATTTCTTATAATTTTTCCCAGCATGAAATGGAATGAGTAAAGAATCAAGCTACAAGAAAAATATCAATAGTTGAGTGAATTGATGATAGATGCATATTGATATTATAGCTTCCTTCTTCTTTTAAGGAGAGCTAGTGCTGGTATTTTGATACATAGGAAATAATCTATTATTCCACTATAAGAGAAAGGAGTAAAAAACTATGTGAAATAAATGAGTTAGAATCATATTTGATTGGATATTGCTCACACAGAGTTAATTATTATATACTATGTAAGAAGAAAAGTAGAGAAGTATTGGGCGGGGTTTTGTCCCTCATGTGGCGCGAAATAACCTCTCCAACTGAGTGTACCGATAACGTGTACAAGAAAGTGTGAAAATTGGTCGGCTAATACTACTCTTGCTTGTTTTAAAGTTGTATATGTAACGGCTATAGTAAAAGAAAACTAAAGGCCCAAAATTCTTCAAACAATGGCTCTCCTCTTCAGAACTCCTCTCCCCAGTTTTCACTCATCTACTTTCCTCTGCAACTTCACCCCCTCAATTCCACTTTCCCCTTTTAAGCAATTTCCCAATTACTCTTTTCTCTCTGCTCGTTGCTCTACTAGCGAAAGCCAACAGAGTGAGAGCCAAGACTCAAATCAAGATGCACCAAAGAAGAAGAAAAGACTCTCTGAACAGTCCTCATGGGAAGCCAAAGATTCCGACGGCAACGATTATCTTTACAGGCTTGGCGCTGAAGCCGATAATATGAATATCGCTGTTGGTGCTAGGGCTGGAGTCATCGATGATCTCTTCGCCGGCAATTTCCTTGGAAAAGACTGTAAAATACTTCAATTTTGCACTTTCTTTATCATTACCGTAATCTCTGCAAAATTGTGTTCCGCTTAATTTTCTTAATTTTTTTATTTGATTGTCTTTTTTCAGCGGATATTGTGTTTGATTATAGACAGAAGGTGACTAGGTCGTTTGCGTACCTTCAAGGCGACTACTATATTGCTCCGGCGTTTCTGGTACATTAATTCTTTGGTTTTTTCCATTTGTTCCTTGATTTGTTAGAAAATTAATCAATTTTGAGTTCCTCACACACTTTTTTTTCTTTGTTTTCTTCATGTGAACAGGATAAAGTTGGTAAGTTTCAATCAGTGCCGCCTTTTTAATCTTCCAACAGCTAATTCTACGCGATTATTGTACCTTGTGTATGAGTACTCGTGCTTCGGTGTACCAAGATGAGTTTGACTCTAGCGTTTTAGTTTCCTTTCGAATCTTACTTTCTTGCTAGAGTGAATAATGGAGATCAGCTGGTTTTCTGATGCCTGCTTGACTATGGATTAATTACTGTTCTGTTTGGCTCCTCTTCCTAGCTATCAGTAGAAATACAACCTTTTCTATTGTACATTTTCTTTTTTGGGTTAATTCTGCAGAGAGATTTGACTAAGAATCTTTTGACTTTTGAGCGTTAAAAAAAAGAGAATCATGATTTGCTATTATTTCAATTTATATAGGCGCTTTCACTTTAGCTGCTAAGGTGGTACTCAATCAACCTTGGGGCAAATTTAAATTTCCTTTAATAAGAGGCTGTGTAGAAAACTTGTCTTGATGTCTAATTATGGACTCAAAAGGCTAATCTACGTTTTCCGCACCTGGTACATAACATGTTTTCTCGCAAACCTCTTTCCTTTGGTTTGGATGTGTATCTGTAAGTTCTGCAGGTATAAAATTGGTACAGTAGTTCATGTGTTTGGAGGATTTAACATCTACACTTTTATGCAGATTTTAACTTGTGAACTTGTTATTTCACCATGCACTTCTTTTATGCTATTATTGCAAGCAGAGCTTCCTTATTTAAAAGCATTGGTGTTTAACATTTTTTTCCTGGCCCCATTTCGATGATATGTGGACTCTTACACCTGCAGTGTGTCACATTGTGAAGAACTACATTTCTCATCTTTTGAACGCCAAAGTTCCTCTGATTCTAGGCAAGTATGTTTTCTTTTCCCATTTTGTTGTTGGCAACTTTAGGATCTTTACATGTACCTTATTCTGAGAAAGTATTTTTTGTACAAGTAAAATTTATTTTCTGATGGAGATTTGAAAGCAACAGTTTTCTGCACTGCTGTTCCTACTAGAAATACCCTGCACTTCACATTTTATTCTAGTGCTGGACTATCTTAGATATTTTCACTATTCTTTTATATTCTCTGATTGTGATAATTGCTTTACAATCAAATTTTTATCATAATTATAATTTTTATCATGCACATACCATGATCTTGATACTCTGTGGATATTGTTAGTTTTGCTGCAAAAGTTTTGTATTATGCTTGATCAGCTTTTGAGCTGAATGTTAGGGGGATGTGAGAAGATATTCTTAAGATAATGTTTTTTGTAACAGGCATTTGGGGAGGAAAGGGGCAAGGCAAATCATTTCAGACTGAACTGATCTTTCAGGCAATGGGGATTGAACCTGTCATTATGTCTGCAGGAGAACTGGAATCAGAAAGAGCTGGTAGAATTATTTCTGGTTTCTTTATAAATTGCTGAAGAATGGTTATAAAAAATTGCTGAAGAATGATATAGACAGGAACACTCCATACTTTTTGGACGTATTGCCCAAAATTCGAACTTGAGTAACTATTATCATCCTTGAATGAAAAAACAAAAAGAAAAACCACCTTGCAACTAATATTTCTGAACTGACAAGCCAGGGTGGCAATCTACAGTATAGACATATAAAAATGGCTTGTGATATCTTCCTTTCTGGGATATTTTTTAGTATGACTTGGAAAAAAGTTAACCATGTTGATGTCAGATTCCGTTTGATGATTTTTTAGATGCAAATGTGGACACATAATTGACTTGTCGTTATTCCTACTTTGATATTGCTCCCACTGTCGTATCTGGAAAGAGTCTGTAAATAAACCTTGACTGCCTTTCGTTTAAATTTTTTTACTAGATCAATTATCACAAGTGCTATGCTTAGTTAAAGCATTGTCTTAGAGGAACCAAGATTTACTATTGTTGGTTCAGAAAAGTATAATTGGCTTTAATCATATATTTATCCAAGAGCTAGAGACCTTCACCTTCATCCAACAATTTTATAGGTTAGTATGAGAGAAGACATTTCCATAATGAGACACAAAATTTATATGCATAAACTGTCTTTCCAACTCAATTTCATGGACTCATATTGTGACCATCTCGGATGGTGATCATACTTCTTTCATTTTTCCTGATTACCTTCAAGTAAAGAGTATAATTTTCCAATTTTATAATCTGTGTTTCTTTTACCTTTTTAAATATATTTTTTACTTTTACAGGAGTTATTTATTTATTATCTTTTTTATCTTTCCTCTATCAGGAGAACCAGGCAAGTTAATACGTGAACGTTACAGAACTGCTTCTCAAGTGGTTCAGAACCAAGTTAGAAGCTTTACTGCTTTTATTACTGGTACATGTATAAGTTTGTATGTCTAGGTTGTGTTATTTAATATAGGTTATGCTATGATTTTTGTTATATACTATGACTTAGTAGCTGCTTTAATTTTGACACTTACATTTATCATTTTCTGGTTTTCTGTTTTCCGTGACAATAGTTCTTAAGTAATGGATCTCTGTTATTTTTTATTTTTTTGAATAGAAATGTATAGAGAATAAGTTACAAATGTAAGCTTATTTAATCTTACAAGTTACAAATTAAAGTTTATCCAAAACATTAAATAAAAACAACACAATAACAACCCAGTATAATTCCACTAGTGGGGTCTGGGGAGGGTAGTGTGTACGCAGACCTTACCCCTACCCTGGGATAGTGAGGCTGTTTCCGATAGACCCTCGGCTCCATCCCTCCAAGAACTCCCCACCTTGCTCTTGGGGTGACTCGAACTCACAACATCTTGGTTGTAAGTGGAGGTTGCTCACCACTAGAGCAACCCACTCTTGTCAAAAACATTAAATAACAAAGTTCCAAATGGATGTATGTGATAAATATGTACGCTCCTAATATTGCACACNGGGACGGAATTTCCTACTAATAGTTGCACATTAGAATGATTATGAAGAAGGTTGTGAAATACTATTCCGCAAATTGCAGAATTTGTTCCACTTCATATATGCAGCTCACTAGTTGAAGTTATGAGTTATTGTGACTTATTGAATTTTCTCTATTCCTTCTATAATTCTCTCTAAAGTCTTAACATTTAACTTGAACAATTAATGAACTGCGTTATGGTTCCTATTGATTAACAGGGAAAAATGAGTTGTTTGATGATCAATGACATTGATGCTGGCCTTGGCAGATTTG